GCTTTGTCGAGACCTCATCACACGTCAACAGAACTTTTCTTTTATTAGATTATACAGGACAGGATGCTCACTTTCTAGTATAATCTCATCGTAACTTAATTGCTCTTGATTTACTTGCTGTTCTTGTTGTTGTAACTGTTGCTCTTGTTGTAGCTGCTGCACCTGTTGTTGCTGGTGTAGCGGATGCTCTTGCTGTTGATGCTGCTGCAAAATATATAAAGAAACAATGCATCATTCAATTATACAATATTTTCACTTATGAAATCTTTCTATTTAAAAATTTCTCTACCGTATTAAGAATCAAAGAAGCTGCTTCCAACTTCCGAATTATTCGACCTTTTGCCATAATATTAACCCACTATTCGGTCAAGTTGTAATATAGAACTGCTGGACATCATTAGATTGAAAATGCAGATCACAAACGTACTGTTTTATTTTAAATCTGTTGACAGTCATTCACTTCACATACTATTACCATATTTAAATTATTTTCGAAACTTTCTATTTACCATTTATAAAAACAAATTGTAATAATTATTGACTTGACTTCTAGTTTTTAGGTTTAGTATACCTCCCCGCTCCCCAATATATCTACTAAACTCAATATAAATAAAATAAAATTGGTTATTTGCTTACTTCACTCGTATTTATGAAGCTACATTCATTTGGGTCATATGGAACACTAGCGCCACCCCAACTTCTGCCATTTCTTGGACAAATTTTGTCAATTTTCCCGTATGAGTTCGTGCTCCTTATCTAGTCTCCATGGTTGGAACAATCGAAACATCTGCGCACTCGCTCGAGTAGTGCACGTAATAGTAACGCTGTGGCCACTGTCATTCGTATCCGAATAATCGAATGATTCTATATAACCACTCGAGATATCTCGAGAGATTTTCATAATCGATATAATCGATAATTTTCATTCGAGTAGTCCCATCACTAATCATGGTTCAATTATCTATCTATGGTTCAATTTCAATTGGTTCATGATTATCGTCATTGTTATCATTGTATTTGTATCAGTACCTTCCGCTTTTCACAGCAATTTCATATGTTTCATAGTTAAAAATCCAATAAAATACCATGTTAATTAAAGAATAGTAAGTACAAGTTTTTCTAAATATGTCTACAAAAAATTATGATTTTTCCATGAGGAACAGAAGTTATTAAACGAAAATTAACCCTACCAAATTTGATGATTTTGGTGTCGAATTTCTACACTGATTGTAGAAACGTTTTTAAATTTATAACGTGGAACTTGAAATACCAAACTGACTGGGAAATTGTAGTATTCAAGATAATTGTAACCTAAGACTGATTTTTCAAATGGCATGAACATATTTCATTGGGATCATTGACGCATTTTAACGAATTTTTCTATTTTTTAGCCGTGTAACGTTGCCCCTAACTGTAGAGGAGGTGAGTTCATCTTTTTATTTATATATTTATGTCACTGGTCACTGGGCCTACTTCTAGTCATCCACTTTAAATAAATTTGATAATACACATTGCTAATATAGGAGTATAATCCCTTATACCTAAAACTGGCTACACAGGGAAATGCATGGTATAACATTCATTAATGTGCTCTAGATTTGTTTACACTCGCAACTGCTTATTTTTGGTTTGATCCACAAAATTCAGGTGTGCAAGTACACCAGGAGCCTCAGCAGTGGCATAAAAAAATGAAAATTAAAGAATAACAATTTATGAATAGCTGTCTATATTTTCATTCACATCTTCGACCTACTGTTCAACGATCTTCTTTCCAGTATCAAGTTGCTCAGCTATTCAGTGTAGCTGAGGCATCCAAGGACAATACCGGTGGTGGAGAAGGCATCGAAGTCCTGAAGAATGAACCGTTCACCAATTACCCGCTATTGGGCGACAAATACAGCAGTGGACAGTATACTTACAAAATATACCACTTGGCGAGCAAAGTGCCGGCCTTCATAAGGCTTCTTGCCCCGAAAGGTAGTCTGGAGTTCCACGAAGAAGCTTGGAATGGTTATCCTTATGCCAGGACCATCATTACGGTGAGTACGTGCCACATTAAAAATATTTCCGAGAGATTAATTACAGGTGTTCGGAATGTTTTTTATTAAAAGAAAAACCAGTAGATAATAGAAACAATTTCTATCTATGTTAGAAGGGGACTTTTTTTACACGATATTCTGCATCACAATTTTGTAGTCTTAATCAAGTAATAATCACAATAAAAAAATTGAATATATCACTGAATAGAGAAAATGTTTTATATTCGCCCGAGTAGTTTTTATTGCAATATAGTCATTAACAGCAGAAATATATAGTAATAGTAGAAAAATTTCCAAATAAATAGTGAATATACATGTCTGTATGTTAACATTTCTGTATTTTTGGTTTTTGATTGTTAAAAATAGAAAAATGTTGTCTGTAGTTTGCCAGAAATTGCTTCTAAAATACGTATTTATTCAAGCGGGCAGTCAGAATGATATAAAACAGAAATATAAATATTTTGTGTTCGTAATGGTGACTGACACATAGCATTAATGTTTTTAACGCATAATAATTTTTTTCTGACAAATAAAGAACTTTATTTAATTTTTTATTAAACACTAAAAAGCTTAAACATGTTTTGATGTATGTAACAGTTTAAATGTGATCATTATTATTCGACGTCAGTTGAAAAAAATATCAGTTTCTACCTGTTATAATCTCTGGGTTTAATAGTTTCGTTTTAGTTTATTCAGTATCATTTAAGTGTGTCTATACCTTGACACTGGTTTTAAAAGGAAATTCATGAATTAACCTTGTGATAAGATAGTTATATATATCATGCCGCAAATGAAATTACAAATGATGTTATTTGTTTTTCAATTTTACAGATACTGAAAATGATGAAGTTGTTTAATATCCATTTTTATTGAAGGCGTAAATTAATTTGCATGGATAGTAATTTTTTAGATAGATAATCCAAACGTACTTAAAAATAAACAAGTTAAAGTTTAGTATTTATTATGTTTTCTTGAGGTTTATTCTACTGAAAAAAATGCTCCCGTTTTTATTTCAAAATAGTCTATTAAATTTTCCTCAAACCCTACAAACCATTTTGTTGGTATTTTCAATCAATTAAATAAAATTATGGGGAGCATGTAGAAGTTATTATGGTTTATGAACTTCTTTTGCTAATATTTTTCATTTTTGATCCTCTATTTGTTACAGTTTCTATCATTTTATCTTGTAGAGGTCATGTTAAATTTTTTTACTGTTTCAGAACCCGCTCTATATGAAAGACAAATTCAAATTAGTAATAGAGACTTTACATGTTGCCGATAGAGGTCACCAAGAAAATGTAAGTAACAATTTCTCTATTTTATGTTTTGTGCAAAGCGTACCATGGTTATGTTACACCTATTGTAAATATCTCTATGTGATTTAAAGGCATGTAACTTGTGGAATATCAGCTATATAACGAGCGTTCAAATAAAAACGTGGTCGAAGTTGGCTCTGACACATTGGACGTAGGGAGTAGCTTATAGCGACCAACTTAACCTCATTTCTCAACGAGCTGTATAGCAGCTGTCAGTTTCAATAACGTTAATGACTATATAACTTTATTTTAAAGAATAATCGTGATAACAATAACAAACAATTAAAGGAGCTGCGGAAAGTGTCCCCCTCCTTGTTATAACAATAAATTAAAGCAGCTGCTGAAAGTGTCCCCCTCCTTGTTCCAAGCACTTTTCACACCTGTTCCTCAAAGAATTAAAGACATTTTCTAAGATGCTCGGGGTATTGTTAATTTCACGAATCTTGTCTATAAGTCGAGCCTGCAGATGGTTTAAATCAGGAATAGGCAGTTCAAAAATAGTGTTTTTAAGGTAAGGCCACAAAAAGAAATCACACGGCGTAATATCACATGACCTCGGTGGAAATTCATGTTCAGCATTGAGACTTATTAGTCGATTTTGGAAAACTTCCCTCAACATATTCATCGTCTCGCCTGCCGTATGTGCCCTTGCGCCATCTTGTTGAAAGTAAAAGTTTGTAATTTCGTTTTCTTCCAGCTGGTTAACAAAAGGAGCGATAATTTCTTCTCTATACCTTTGCGCAGTAAGAGTACCATTAAAAAAAATAGGTCCATAAATCCTCCTTCGATTGAGAGCACACCAAACTCCAATTTTTTGAGCGTGTAGAGGGCCCTCGACAAAAAAGTTATCTGGTTTTTCAGAAGACCACATTCTCATATTCTGTGAGTTTACGTAACCACTTAAATGAAACCAGGCTTCATCAGAAAAAAAGGTGATATTATGAAGTTCACCGTAGTTGTTTAAAAACCATTCACAAAATACAGCCCGTCGCGGAAAATCAACTTCATGAAGTTCTTGCTGACAAGTTAAACGATAGGAGAACAAACGCAAATCTTTTTTTAACACTGTGTGGCAGGTACCGACTGATACTCCCACCATTTGTGATAAAACACGTACAGAAGTTCTTGGCGCATTTTCCATTATTTGTTGGACATTTTCTTTTAATTCTTCAGTCCGCTTTTTAGGTCGGCCGCTTCCTTCTTTTCTTGTTACACTGCCCGTTTCACGAAAAACATTAACACAACGCTGAACTGCACTTTGAAAAATTTTGTACTCAACAACGCCGGGAAATTGATTTTGAAATTCTATGAAACATTCCTCAATAGAATACTTCCATATTCCATCAATCTTGCGTCCATTTCTAAAGTAGGACTCTATGATAAACACTTTTTGTTCTTGAGAAAACACCATTTTAAACGCTTTTTAAAACGAAAATATTAAAATTGATAGCGGCGATATAGCGCTTTGACAGATGATATTTAAGTTCATTTGCTATATGCTACGCCCTACGTCCAAATTTTCAGAACCAACTTGACCACGTTTTTATTTGAACGCTCGTTATTTTTATTTGTATCAAGAGTTTGCATATAGCCGATAGGGGCAAAGAAGATAATATTGGTAATAATTAGACGATACTTTTGCTAATCACACCCTGATACCATAAATTTTAATGAACATTTTTACTAACTAATATCAAATTATTTACTTGTGTACACATAATTTTTTTATGTATATGATGTTGCGTAATCTAAACCTTGACGCAATCTTGTATTCAATTTTTCCACTCAAGATTACTTAGATATTATAGCTAGGCCTGCGCAATTGGCGAAATAACAAACTGATTTTCGATTCGTCAAAAAAGTCGATTCGTATTGATTAATCAAGTTGTATAATTTTTTTTTAATCCTGTGCAATAAATCGTAATGTCGCTTTGAATTCATTTATATTTTTGAATTTGCACAACATTTAATCAAAGAACACTATGATTAATAGAATACCAATAACTTGAAAACGAACATTTGAGTTTTTTCTTATTATTTTGATATGTAGAATCCATTCCTGGAGTTTGGTGCGATTCTCCCAACGCACCCTGTATAATGTTTAGATATTGTGGAAACAAGCGAAAATGTCTATTTTTTAATTTGTAACAACTAAATATTCCTTTTTAAATATTTTTTTGCGTTTGTCTTGTTAAATTGTTGGAAGAATTACTATCATGGAAAACGGTAAAAACTATTTTTTTATATTGTTGTCATTTGATTATTTGGAATGAAATATTTTTTGAAATTAAATGAAAAATACATGCAGGATCGTTTTTTAGGTGCACGAACTACCCGCGGACAAATTAAAGCAGAGGGAGGTGGTATTCATTGACATCGCCAATGATTCGTTAGCGGCGGGCGATTATAAAGAAGAAGAAGATCCCACAAAATTCAAATCTCAGAAGACAGGTCGAGGACCTTTGGTCGGACCCGACTGGCGGGATAAAGTAGAACCTATGATGACATGTTATAAATTAGTTACCGTAGAATTTGAATGGTTTGGTTTACAGGTAAGAAGGTTATCGATACTGCACATTACATTGTTATGAATTTTAGACAGGCATAAAATAAAAATAAAAATAAGTAAATATTATTATTATTGTCAGAACATTGCGATAGTGTTACATAATAATAATATTAATGAAACACAGTGCAATTATTTATACGGGTGTTCTGATACGAATGGGCCATATTTCAAGGATAAGTTCATTAGATGGAAATAAACCGATTTTAGAGTTACACTTATTGTATGGCCCATTTATTTCTGAACACCCTATATACACTCGGACAAAATTACCGAATACTTACAAATTTTTTCAATTTCTTTTTGTAAAAACAAATTTCGATGGATCCAGTCATTTAAACTCTTAGTGTTAAGAAGAATAGTTTATTTTACAAATTATAGGTGAACACCATTAAATTTTTATAAGACGATTGCAAACCCAAAAATCGTAAAATGTTAGAAAAATTAAGGATATTTATTTTAAACTTAAATGGTATTTGGTTGGCAAATACTAGGTTTGTTTTCAATTAAAATAAGTATAGTAACGAGTATATCCTTACTGTTTGCATCTTTCTTGGCAAGTTACTATCGCATTCTATTCTCTTATGCTGCAATCCAAGGTTCTCTTGTACTAGAAATGAGATTAGTCGGGAATTTGTCAATAAAACACAATATATTCAAATAATCATCAAAATTTATTTTGTTTCCTTCAAAATAGGCTCCATTTGAACTTTTTTCGACAAACGACCCAGTCGTCAAAACAGTTTTTAAATGCATATTCCAGTATGAACTATATATCGTTCAACGACTTTTGTTTTATGGTTTCGACTCGAAACATGTTCCAAGAAGTAGTAATTTGACTTTGGGAAAGAGGAAAAAGTTAACAGGGTTTGTATTCGGCGAATACGGTGTCTACTCGATTACATTCGTTGAGTTTTTGGTCAGAAATTCATTCACAATTGCATTATCGTGCTGCAAAATCCAAGAATTGTCCTTCCATAAATTTGGTCTTTTGCGGAGGATACTTTCAAACACGTCATAATGCCCAGATAATATTCTTTGCTGACTGTTTCTCCATTCGGAAGAAATTCTGTGTGGACAACACCACAATAGTAAAAGAAAAGAGTTAAGATGACTGATATTTGATCGACTTTGACATGGTTCTTTTGGTTTCGACTTTGTGAAGAAAATTCAACTCTTTTGGAACCAGCCGTGCTGCGACACGTTTCATACTCAAATTTCAACTAAAATGATGCGAACTGATTTGTGAGATGTGTTTAGTTCATCTGCCAGCTCTCTCAAACTCTCCAATTGTAATAATGGTTTACAAGCACCATTTCCTTCACTTTATCGATGTTTTCTTCAGTTGAAGACATTGAAGGACTACTAAAACATGGTAAATCATCAACCACTTCTCGACCAATGCTTTATATCATTCGTACGATTGAAAACATGATTATGTAGGATGTTTTTGATATACAGTAATTGATCCGATCACTTTCACAAGTTTTGTGAGTTTCTGCCAACTGATACCTCACCAATGCATTATTTATACGCCATCTCCAAAACACACTGTATGAGATCGCAGGCGTACCGTTGCCCTACTCCTCTGTAGACATCACAAATTATTGTTATATACCTTTTATAGCTTTGACCGGGTTGTGGTACAAAGTTTTCAGTCTCTTGAAATATTGTTTTGTCTGTATCCTTCCTTATAGAGAATTACAATTTGTGCCACTTCAATTTTGTTGTAGCATTTAACTGGTGTTTTAAATAGAGGAAAATGCAAAAGCGAATCACTATCGCTTATAACGAATTTTTTTTATGATAAATCTCGCAAGAAACAAAAATTTCTGTTGTTAATCGAACAAAAAGAAGCGAGTATATCTGCCTGTTAGATGAAAAGCAAATATAAATATAAATTTTCAAGTAAAAGTGATAACAAAACATTAAAGCCCCAAATAATGATAAAGTACCACAATCTGTTGCCAATTTTCAAATATTAGTATGAATTTTCAGCGCATTTTTACGCAATGGACTGTTTGCATAAAAAAAACTTGTAGTGTTTTGTTAATGAACGTTAATGCGAACTTAATTGTGGTACTTGGTCAATCTAGGGACTTCACAAAGTATATTTGGTAATTTAGTCCATAAGTTATTTTTTTATTATTTTGTTTCATTTTAGACGAGGGTAGAGAGTTTTATTCAGAAATCTGAAAGGCGGCTCTTCACAAATTTCCATAGGTAAGTAAATTTTTTTGACTTGCTAACGAAAAGGCTAATAGTGTTAAAACTTGTCGGTTTAAGATTGTATTTTGTTCTAATTTCAGGCAAGTTTTCTGTTCGATCGACCGTTGGCATGGCCTTACGATGGACGACATCCGAGTAATAGAGGACAAGACGAAGGAAGAGCTGGAGGCGTTGCGTCAAAAGGGTGAAGTGCGGGGCATGCGGGCAGAATCGGATTAAGTACCCGTTGGAGCGACAACTAGCTAATTTTAATTTATAACAACTTAAAATACAAGAAATTATTACAAGAGCTGTCTGAATCCACAACTTAATCTGGAGGCTTTCACCGATAAACTAACCATGTTCAGTATTTTTAAGTATAAATGGATTTATTTTTAAAGTTTATGGTGCATTTATGCTATATTAAAAAATAAAGTAATTTTATATTTGGCTTTAAGCACAATTTTTTATAGATTTTTCTTCTGGGCAGTTCGGGCTGGTATCGTTAAAAAAAATTAGATGTGTTCTGGATAAAATAAAATTAGTGAAAAGTAATGAAAAGTTTTCTATATTTTTTTAAAAATTGATACCAGTATATTTATGAAAAATTTACATATTCAAAAAGTTACGTCAATAACTATTTTTCGACATAGTTGGCTTCAACCTCAATACTCTTCTTCCATCGCCTCTCAGGCCCATTGTTTCACGGTACTGTGTACCTCATCATCGGTAGAAAACCTTTTTCCACCCATAAACACCAACAGAGAAAAGAAAAGATGAAAATCAGGAGGTGCCAGGTCAGGACTGTAAGCGGGGTGGTTGATGAATGAATCCTAGAGCTGCTTTGTGGCGTTGCATTGAGGTGCAACAAGCATACTCCTTTCGTTAACATTCATGCAGAAGAAATCTGGAGATTTGTGGAAATGCTGCATTAATCTCGACCAAAGTCAAGTCGCTACAAAGCACTTCTTCGATTTTCACCATTGTCACGATTGAAGGACGCACACTCTTTTTGTTCATCATGAACATTTCTTCTGCCAGCTTTATACCCACGATACCACTTGTGCTAGTATGATTCGTCACACCATAACTATAAACAGTTTTGATCTCGTTAAAAATCTGCACTGGTGCCTTTCCCTTTAGAAGAAGAAACTAGATTACACTTCTCACCTCGCAGCTGGCGGGATTCGGAATAGCGGCACCTATTTCAACACGCCACTACAACAACAGTTCTCAACTAACAAATGAGCGTGTATTCTGCTTCCAACTCTAGCTTTGAATGCAGAACATCAGTCTCAGTCCTCTTACTTAACAACAAACCTATTTTATTTTTAGATAGTAATAATACAAATCTATACTTCAAACTTTGTCAAACTGCGTTGCACAAAAAAAAACTTAGGTGACAGATGCTGCCTTGTCAGATACTCTCAAAACAAGAATAAATAGGATTTTCTGTAGTACTAGAAAACACTATTTTAGTTAGAGTTAGAGTTTATTTCCGTTTCAAATTCAGTTGATCACTATCTCGTAAGTGGAGTCATTTTACAGAAATTCCACTTAAATGTATAATTGTTAGTAGTTAATTGTTAGATTTTCAGAACAATCGGTCAATAGAAATAATTTTTAATTGACTTGCGGGGAACAACTACTCTGCGTACTAATGCTCTGCCCAGCATTAAACTGAATCCATGAATTACAATTAATTACACCCAGAGTATTTAGTAAATAAATACAAGTATCATTTATCAGCTGAACTTACCAGACTGCGTCCGATATAACAAAGTGCTACATATGTGAATGGTGGACCTTCAATACAACCAAATTTGAGCGAGACCTGCTATTTCGGAAGTATTATAAAAGCAAGACCTGTGTTGCCATTAGGCGAGACAATTTTTACTTGATTTTGCAGAAAACAACTCCCTTGCCAACATTAAATTATACTGACAATATCTAGTAAAGTAAATAGAGATCGTTCGTTAGCAGAACCACAAAACATACCGGTTTCAAGCTTTGTAGCACTCGTCAGTCTGGCATTAGAAAAATTATACCTATTTATAATTTAAAATTACTTCCAATTTGAAAAATATCCATGTACAACGGGTATTTTACTCGAACAAGTACTGTTTTTCGAACGGCATTAATGGTAAATTAATGGAAGACGATAATCCTGTACAAAAAGATGCTTAAAATTGATTCTGCAACTGCATTTGCAGATGCAGAATGCATTCGCTTTATTGATTTTTTGTTAAATGATCATTATGAATTTTACACGCAATCTGTCCTTGAACTCTCTATTGTGCTCTTTAGGTTTAGGACTAACGCCAAAACATAAATTTGGACTGTTACATGTTTTATGTACTTTGAACTGATTGTAATTTTTAGTTAAAATGGATCTGATTTCATTTATAATTTTATTAAGCTCCTACCAGATGTAATAAAATTATTACATTATGAATAGTGTTCATTTACGTATTGAAATTAGAGAACTTAGAGAAAAACGAAGACGGATTGCAAATTATGCTTCTGTTTAACTTTAAAGTTTAAAACAAATAAAAAGTGTACAGCAAAAATTGTTTTTAATTTTTTTTCCTAGAAAAGATCCGCTTACTTGAACAAAAATGTGCAAAAATGATTATGACTCCTGAACTGACCCCTTCAATAATCTTTTGGTGATGTCTATGTAAAAATATCTTTAATATTAAACCATTTTTGATTCTCTACATCCAAATAAATTATTTTGAAATGAAAATATATATTAAAATGACTGACAATAAATTTCCAATTTTATCAATTATTAATTTTTAAGTATTGAAAAGTATGAATAAAACTTTTATGTAAAATGGTGCACAATGCCAAATTACGTCACTATTTTGCGTCATCTGACATGCGCAATCATCATCCCTTTTGAGAGTAGTGATTCATTAACTGACGGTGTTGTCCAGCAATTTCATATGTTTAGTAGTTAAATATTTAATAAAGTACTATGTTAATTAAAGAATAGTAAGTACAACAAGTTTTTCTATACATATGTAGAATAAATTATAGTTTTATATAGAAATTTAAGTGATGAATAGTGAAATTCTTATTGCACGAAAATTAACCCTCTGCTTCTGCCAAATTTACTGGAATTTGGTGTCAATTTTCTGCACTGGGTCTGGCAAGAATGTTAAAATTTATAATTGAAATTTCAATGTCGAACTAACTTGGAAATTTTAGTATTTAAGTCATTTTTAACATAAGACCTTGATTTTTTAAATGGCATTGAACATATTTCATTGGGGTCTGTATTGACGTATTTTAACCAGAATTTTTCTATTTTTTTAGCCGTGTAACATTGCCCCTAACTGTAGAAGAGGTGAGTTTATCTTTTTATTATATGGATCTATATACAAATACGTATTGCATGGCTTATAATCATCCATAATAAGTAACATTGCACTATAATTTAAAAAAGTAAGTACACACATTTCCCATTAATTAATGGTTTGATAATAAATAAGGCATTAATTGCTTATATACAAGGGACATATTCCTTATAATACCTGTGACCTGTGACCGTTGTAACAGGGTTATATGTCGACATTGAAATTAATTCTAAATAAATCATTTATGTGTTGTATTGTTATTACCTAGATATCACATTATAAATTATTTGAATTATTTGCTGTATATTGTGTCATGCAATAAACATAAATATTTTTAATTTCATTTACTTGTTTATACCAACATTTATAATAGCTGAGTGATCACCTTGACTAAAATGTTACTGCATTGGTTTTGTAACCTATAGGCTCTAAATTATAACTAAGTACCTTTAGCTAATTAGACAAGATATGTGTTTGACAAAAAAAATATTTCAATATTTATTTTAAATATTTTGTGCTTTCTAAGTTTGTCTTGACATACCTAGTCATTTCCTAAATATGTTTTTTTTTACCACTATTAGATTAAATTGTTTAATAGAACATTATTAAATGTTATAAATTGTAAATTTTGAAGTAAATTTATTGTTTTATCATAGATCATATATAAATTAAGTTTATCTTCAATATTGAACCCAAATATGATTTTTTAAAGCTTGAGGATTATCCCCTAATTACATTTTAATGATAAATTTATTTAAAGGTACTTCCAATTTGTCATTTTACTTCAACTTTTTTTTGTTGCTTAAAAGTATACTTTTTTCTTCAATATGTAAAATGTGAATGTGCACATAAATTTTTTTCTTGTTTGGTGAAAATGAGAATTATGGAATTTAATGCAATTTTTAATGAGCACCATTTTATTCGAGTCAAATAGATTATGTCAAGGTTGCACTTGTATTTATGCAGAGTAATTGTTATTAATAGTCGGATGACAGAAAACATACCATTTTAAAAAATACAGCCACTGATTTTATTACAATTATTTTTTTGATAAAGAAAAAGTGTAGGTAATAGCGTATTATCCACCCACGGAAAGGCACTTAAGTTAGGTGTATATGGAATTTTTGTCATTTTGTTGTCTGAAATGTCCAACATTAATTATTAGGTCAAATTATTTTATTTATTTATTGATACATATAAATATTAAATCTAGATACCATGTAATGATACACTCTAATAGCTGTTTTACATTGACAATTTATTCATGAATTAATTCACGAATTTATTGTGGTTTTACACTGCTACAGACTAAGAAGCAAATAAATTTCAAAAATGTCACCTTTCCACTCATAATTGTAGTGATACAACAGCGGTACCGTTCTGACACATATTATATAAATATTAGTTTTTGTAAGTAACAAATCGGTAAAAACAATGGAAAACTAGCACGACGCCACACAATTATTTACATATTTCAATAAAATAACCGCATTACTGATCTGAGGGTGGAAATCTGTTGGGTTAGTACTTCCGAACTTCACGAAGAAATTGACGAAAATTAGAACATGCTCTAATTCGTCAAGAACTTGATGAATAAATTCATGTAGTTATTTGACAGCAGATTTGGTGCATTACACTTGTCCAATTTCTTGATGAGGCGACTTCATGAATTAATTGATCAATAAATTGTCAATGTAAAACAGCTATAATAGGTGTCAAGTTACCTTGGCATCCATTTCATTTGTTTTTGTTTAAAATAAATTTATTCTGAGAGGATTCAAATTGACACTTTATTTCCTAAAATTAGGAACTAAAGCAATATTTTCCTATCCACGAGGTACAAAAAAAAATCTTATTAAGGGATATATAATATTTTGTCAAAAAGAAATATCTTTGATTTTTTTTGTGAACTTTGTAGTGATTCAACAGATGTATCTATTTCGTAATTGTAAAGTCTGATCTTTTCATGATGACCTTAATACTGCATAAGCTATTTATAATACCTAATGATTTCGTAATTTCATGATAATACTAGATTCAATTCACTTAATAGGTATATAAATTTACATCTCTTTATTATCAGTCATTCTTTAATATCTGTTATAACGTGGTGAAAGTGAAATTGGTAAATTATTTCATTGAACTGTTGATATTTATTGATCGACTTCAGAAAAATTGTTTATGTAATCTTATACAAATCGGTTCCAACTTAAAATTTTTTTGTTGTCCGTAATTATTGGTCCAAGAAAAATAACAAGTTCTCTCTTTTCTTTTTATATTCTTTTAATAGTTATTATGTGTTTACATTATAGTCAACAGCAGATCGAATATATTTAGTTTAAACATAAATCTAAAAGTATATTCTAATAAGTTTATTAACATTATTTGCTCATTTATAAATAATGCATTATTGACAAATAAATCTAATACTACTATAAAATTGTTGATAACAGAAATATTTATTAATAATTTAATTACTACAAAATTAGTTCAGAGTTTGCATAATATTTACAAGGTCGTTATTATTAAGTAAACTTCACCTTTTCGGTTGAAACTTTTAATATATTAATATGTGTTAAGTTTATCATATTAGCAATTTAATAAATACATTGTGACTAGTCTATTTCAGAAAATACTAAGTAGTGTTAACTGATTATAATCCATGTTACACAATTTTTTTGTGGGATCAATTTTAAGCTACTTTGATTGAAAGAAAAATGAATCAATATCGACATTGCATCAATCAAATCAGAAATGGGAGCTTAAGGAATTTTTATGGCAGATATTTGCCATGGTTTTATCAAATATGTTATCAGCTGATAAAGAGTTATTCCATATTCTGTTAACTAGAAATTACACAGAAATCCAAGTAGTGTTATCTTTTTGGTTTTTACTGTAACCTAATCTCAATTAGAGGAAACAATGTTCCATGTATTATTAATTGAAATATGAAGTATATTTACATTGTAATTCAACCCTCACACATACTTTGAGGAAAAATTTATGTAAATATAGATGAACACTTTTTAAAAACTGCTCTGTGTTACTTTAGATCGCTTCCTCTTAATCTAAAAAGTTATAGTATTATTTGTTAAGTTACTGTGGTACAAAATTAATCTGAGATAAATTTTAATGTAGTCTGTTGATATGGTATGGAGCTTAGTATGGAGTAATGAATGATTACGGGGAATAATGGTAGTCCCTACTCTCTAATTTAAATAATAAAGATACTTAGTCTTAAAAAAATATGTTATTGATGAAATTGTAAAAAATCGTCAAGTATCTTTTTAGTATAGGAAACGAAAAATGCACTTTATTTTACACCAAAAAAATTTTTTTTCCTGACAAAAACTACTTTTATCAAGCAGAATTGTTCATCAAATGTCAGAACTCTGTATAAAATCCTTTTTTTGTCAACAGCTGTGTTTTTTTCTACATTTGAATACAAGTAGAATTTTTTAACAATGACTTTTTTTTTCATAAAATTGAAAATAGTTTTCTCTCTATTCTACTTCATCTTTTGACACACTGTACGTCTTTAAAGCTATATTTATTTGTACTTATTACCTGCAACATTATTTGTTTATTACTCAAAATTACATGTTTTTTTTATCAGATTGTATATTATATCACATAGGTTTTTGTCATAAAAAGCTTAGCTCTACCAAAATCGATTACCAAAACTGTATAGACTAAGAAAAAAAACCTTTTTGTATATAGGGTGATTCAGTAGCTATCCAAAAAAAATATTTGAATGTGCAGGGACTCTTACAAATACAATTTTGTAAGAAAAAAATCGAAAAGGGCAGTTCAAAAATGATTTAAAAATACACTTGCTCGACACTGGAAGCTGTCCACTGTAAAACCTGATTGAATTATTTTGCTGAAGAGATAAATACTCACATTTTTTTAAAATCTTTCATAGAGATCACCGTCATTGCTTTTTTACAGGATATAACTAAAATTATTGACTAAAGACCAATTTTACATCACAAATTACACAGCCAGGTCAATTTTGCAAACTTCAAAATGTCGGATCCAAGATGGCCGACCAAATTTTCAAAAAATAACAGATTCGCGCCAAATTGAAAAATACATACAACTTTTTTTTTGTGTGGCTGTGTTATCAAAGAAAGCTTGTATGGACATGTGCTCTGAACATTTTTTTGTTTTAAGAGTGTTCATAATGAATGAATAAATAAATAAGAAAAAGTAATGGTTGGTGGAGTCATGTAAATAATATTTAATTTTATTCATGTTATTTTCAATTATTATTAATATCTTCCACATGTTTTTTTCCTTAAATTTTCCTCTGGACTACCCTAAAGTGAAGTGTCTGCGGACATATGTTTATTTTGTTATGTTTTGAAAATTAATGACCAATTTTGATCAAGTATTTTTGTTACAATAAAAATGGAATTGCATAATATAAAGTTCCATTGACAAAAAATGTTTGCAATAAATATATTTTCTTAGATATCAAAAGTAAAATATTACATTAATATGTAGCTACATTAAAATAGGGTTTTCTCGGGTTACCAAAAAAATGTAAATCATATTTTTTTAATTTACTTTATTAAACATTGGAGATGTTAGAGCATAATGAGCTTACATTACTACATTTCATTTTAAAGTAAATTATTGATAAATTCTTATTTATTCGAGCTCAAAACATGTTACACTAAGAATTGTATAGTTCACAAATGATATGAACTTTGACATTATGTGTTTTCATTTATATCTTCATTCTATTCTTCTAAACTCAGACAATCTATCTTCCAGTATCAAGTCGCTCAGCTGTTCAGCGTAGCTGAGGCGTCCAAGGACAACACCGGCGGTGGAGAGGGCATCGAGGTCCTGAAGAATGAACCGTTCACCAACTACCCGCTACTTGGTGGCAAATACAACAGTGGACAGTATACTTACAAAATTTACCACTTGGCGAGCAAAGTGCCGGCCTTCATAAGGCTTCTTGCCCCGAAAGGCAGTCTGGAGATCCACGAGGAGGCTTGGAATGCCTATCCTTACTGCAAGACTGTCCTTACGGTGAGTACTTTAAATGATTTTCATCCAATTGATTAAAAGAGGTATGACTGAAATGCTTGTCGAACTTTAATGACTGATTTGTATATTACTATAGTTCTGTGGAGAGACAGATGTCTTTTGCATACCCAGATTTCTGGCATTGAAGAATATTGTTTGACTTCATTTGATTTTTTTTTGTTTGTTTCAATTAGCTTAATATCTTCAAAATAAAATAAAGATGATGATAATATAGATGTTTCTGCTCATAATTTTTTTTGTGTTGCAATATATTCCAAATTGGACTCGATGACCAAAGGTTTTACAAAACTATGTTCGTCCTGCATGCTAGGATATTTAGGAAATAAATGCTGACGAAAATAACAGTATGACATTTTTTAAATAAATGTAATAGTATTCATAGAATCATATAATTCATGAATAAAATTAAATATTTGTACTGCCTTCCTCAGCTGTTCTCTTGCAGTTTGAAATAAACCATAATTTTTGATAAATCTTGGTCACCTCGAATTTAAAAAGAAAAGCGTTTCAGGACATGTTTATAGCAATTTGTTTTGCTGTTTATTTTGAAAGAATCAAAGGCAACAACTTCTGGCCACATTAGAAGCAACCTTTTTCACACTTTTTATATTTTGCATAATAATTTATTCACATTTTAATGCAGGGAGACTTTTTGAAATACTATGTGAAGCCTGTACAGCTAAGCGTTCATGAAATACGTTTTGTTGTTAGGTTCCAAAGTAAACGCAAACGTTAAAAATGTATATAGAAGGAGCCTGAGTCACCTAGTTAGGTAATTTTCATTGTGTACATGGCATTTGTCCAACTAATAATTTTTCTTAATACGCGTGTACCCTAGTCTCTCTCTTAATGTACATACCTATTTAGTCGCACATACAGATTTAGAACGATATAAAACGGTAGTGGCAATATTTACTTTTCCAAATGGCGTTTACAATTTGATTAGTGACTATTTTACTTAATATTGTATTATATTAGAAAAGAAAAGTTTTTTTTACTTTAAAATTTTATAATACATATACAGGATGTCCCCGTTTGTAAGTGTGCGGGACATTATGGGATTCTCTCCCCCAAAAAAGTATTATCTACAAGGATAAAAGATTTTAAACATAGCTGATTTAGGGTTTACCAAATAACACAACTCTTTGTTATGACGTCTCACTATTTTCAAGAACGAAGAACAGGAACCAAAAATGTGTCGACATTGACATTTTTGAATCCATTTCTTTTTTGTTTACAAAATAACTGATTACAATGCAATGAAATACATGTGTACAGGTTGAACTTGTATAATCCATCATTTTCAGTAATCTTTTTAAGTATTAAATCATTAACTTTTGGCACTATAAATACTAAAAATAATAAATTTAACATTCTACTTATCATTAATATTGTTATTTATAATTTAAGTGGTGCTCAAAATTGTTAGCTTTGAATTTACTTTAATTTTTCTGTATTCTGTGTCGCTGATACGCTCACCTTAACTAAATGTAAAAAGCAAATAAAACCTATGAAAAAAAGAAAAAAGAAAATGAAGTTAGATTTTTTTTTAGTAAATAAGTCCTAAGAACATGCATACCTAGTGCGAAACTATAAGTTCCTCAAAATTGCAAATAGCACTATGATTTTTTCGTTGGTCCGTTTTTGAGAAAGTAGCAGCAATTTTTTTTATCCGAAATAGGATGATTTTTAATGTGTATATTTATTTTCATTGTTTTATATTTTTTCCTTTATTTCTGAATTAGTGACATAATGGGTACTTAATAATTTGCGCTTTTAAAAATTTACACATTTTCTTGAATAATTACCGTTTAATAAGGAATATAAAAATAGTAGGCCAGGATATAGAATGAACACTTGTGTTATTAGATTTTGAATAAATAAAATTGCTACTTAATACAATTTTTTTTTAAATAAAAATGTTCAATTTTTGAGAAAGTTATTCCCAAATATGCGTGTTCTTAGGATTTATTTAATAAAAAATTTTCTTCATTTCTTTTTTACATTATGTACCCTATAAATCATGACACTTTGTATATAATAATTTGACTTTGGCAATCAAGAATATCAATTACTAAATTGTTTAATCATCGAGCAAATTGCTGTTATATTAATCATAATCTATAGTTAATAGTTTTGTCTTAGTTCTAATTATAAACATATCAAAATCCTTGAATTATGCTACATGTTGACAGTGGTTTTTAAAGGAAATTCTTTAGGAGATAACTTTAAGATAAGAAAAATATTGTGTCATATATATATAGAAATATGTATTGCATAAAACTACATATTTGAAACTTGTCGTAAATAAAATCATAAATGCTTGCTTCCTGATTGGCTTATTCATTTATTGACTTATTTTTATTGAATACATTTTTTGATTCGGGAATAATGATAAAATTGTTTTATTGAAGATATTATACGTATTATTAATTTGCGTATCATTTATTACATAATGAACAATAATTTATTCAGATAAATTGCTAGGTAATGATGTAATTTAGTTCAAGTGGACATTTTTCCAAGTTTGGTTTTCTCTGTTATTATTTTATAGAAATAAACAAGTCAAGGTTTAGCATTAAAAAATTATACCATGTCAATATTAAGTTAGCAAAAAATTTTTTGTTTTCTTAAATCCTGCAAATTTGTTTTTCAAAATATTTAATTTTGCAGTAATATTTCCGCCACGGATCCTTATGTTTTCTGTGTCGCTGGTTAGGTCAAAAATACAATTTGACAGCTGCCAAAATGGTGTCATACTGACGAAGCGAAAAGCAATTTAGTTTGTCATTTTGATAGCATTGACAGTTGTCTACAGCCAAGAGGCATTTCGGATGTCAAATTCAGATTCGGCAACGCCAAAAAGCCTTTTACCAACAATATTTTCTAAGATCTCGAATCACTTCATCAATATGACATTTTTTTGGCAGTTGTCAATTTTTAATTTGTATTTTTGATCTATGATTCGAAATCAGCGACCCCAAAAACCTCTGAGTATACAATTTCAGAAGAAAATTCCTCAAACTCTCGTCAAAAATGAATTAAAAAAAACAGTTTTTTCAAATTTGTTTATTTATAACATTATTACAACAATTGATAGAACCTCCTGGGCAATGGAGCGATATTTGTGTACGGGTAGGTAACCCGAAAATTGCAAAAAACTTGGGATTCAAGCGTTAAATTTAGAATAAATGGTCAAAAATTGGGGAAGTTGAGAGGTAACGTAGGTTATCACTATGCCTATAAGAGTTAAGCTTAAGCTATGTTGGAAAATATCTGGCGGAAAGATTATATATATCCTTTTTCAATAAATTAAATCAAACTATGACATTTGTGTGAAAAAATATATTATTTTTTGCATTAAAATATATCATTTTGTCTGCTACTTGTTATGTGAATCGTTCTTTTTCATTTCATCTCACAGAAGTCATGTTAAAATGATTCACCATGAATTTTTCAGAACCCGCTCTATATGAAAGACAAATTCAAATTAGTAATAGAGACTATGCATTCTCCCGATAGAGGCCGCCAAGAAAATGTAAGTAATTATTCTCTCTGTTTTCTTTTTTATGTTCTGGGTAAATCGTACAACGGTAATGGGATTCTATGTTACACCTATTGTAAATATCGCTTCGAAACGACCTCTGTCGTGTGCTTTTAAATGAATTTTACGGAAACGTGTAGAATCCCGGCTATATGAAGGAGAATTTCGTTATTTGTATCGAGAGTATGCACATCGCCGATAGGGGCAAACAGGATAACGTAAGTAATAGATGGCGTTTTTGCTCGCTAGTTTTAGTGATGCACTGAAACCGTGCTCAACCTCTGATAACGTTAGGTTTAACATTACAGGGTGATTTTGATATGTAGTTCGTAAGGTTCTCTGTTCCGATGGACCTTTTTCAGAAATTTCTATTTTTCCCTAAATTAACCGTACTTGAAATTTCGAAAGAATTTTTTTCCTTTTTTTTATTATGAATCTTAGAAAAATAATTGGTTTAAAGTTTAAAAGCTGTAGGAATGTGACATCGCGTTCTTATAGCTACAAAATCCAATCACGGAATAACAAGAAAGTAACGTAGTCAAGTCTGTAAGCCAATTGCGAGTCACTATTTTGAGAGATTAGATACTCAAAAATTTTTGCATGGAATATAAATATTGTTAATATAATTTTAGCAGTTTGTTAATGACAAATTCATCTTTTGGTAGTTCTCTCCATGGGCGTAGCTACAATTTTTGTTTGGGGTGGGCCCAGGGCTGCAAGTTCTATGGAGGCCCCTAAAAAAAAATCTCGCAATCAACCACTTAACCGATATAAAATTTGATTTGATTCTAAAAAAAGTCACGCAGTTGTTGATATGACAAATATGGTAACACATATTAGATCTTTTTTTTTCTGGGGTGGGCACTGGGCTTTGTGGGGTGGGCCGTGCACACCCCTGCCCCCCCCCCTCTAGCTACGCCCATGGTTCTCTCTAACAGTTAATTAAAAATAAAGTTGAGAGGTCTGAAAAAGGTATATTTTTGCAAAATTTTCATTTAGTTACAATTTCTTATGTATCTGAAGTTGAGCAATTTAATTTTGGCACAGTCATCTATTGTCTTATAATTAAATCCTCAGTATTTTAATTATATTTGCAAAGTAAGTAATTTTCATTATAAGTACAATACCTAATACATTTGCTCAGTAATTTAATGAATTTATACACAGTAACGGATTGGATATTTTTATTTCACTTTTAACATTTAACATTTTGTACTTGGCAATATTATATTGAATTATATAAATTTGCAACTTTGCAGCAACTAGGACTTTGCAAAAAATATATGTAAATACTAAGGAAATAATGTGTTGCATTTTAAAATTTAGCACACCGGTTTCTTCAAAATTATGGCACCCCACTAATTTTTGACACGCAAATAGAGAAACCATTTATACTATTACCTGTTTTAATATTTGAAACATAGAAACTTATCCTTAACTACTACCACTCCTGCTTTATAATATTTAGATTAAAGCATGCATTTTTGTATTTATTTAACATTTGGGGGTGTTAGTGTTGCTTGTTTTGTACAGTGATATAGTGATGATGACGAATGAACTGCTGGTAACATCAGAATAAGTTTGCCCAGATTTAGTTGGAAACGTTACAAAAGCCACCAAGAGTTTATCATTAAATAGGTCGAGCCTAATAGCCCGGGAGCCAGCAACCGTTTTGAGTTAGTCATTTAGCAAAAGCTGAAAATTTTTCCTATGCTTCATTTAGTATGACTAGTAAGTGAATCGACCTCCAGCTCACACAATTCCGGGGGGGTATAGCTGCGGTAGCCTACCTCCCACACACGTAAAATAATAATAAAAAAAACTAAAACCACAAAAGCTGAGGCTTTGTTGACATATTGATTATGTTATAATCAAAAGAAAAAAACGCAATCAGCTGACTTTAGAGTGGGGGGTTATGCCTCAGCTTTTCACATAAACAAGTCAAAAATATGCGCTAGGTAAACTAATATCGAAAAAGCTAAAATTTGGTATAGTAATAGTCAACTTAACCAGTTATACGAAAAAAATTGTCTGCTGAAGTTTTTGCGGTGTATAAGTGGTCAGCTGACGAGTTAAAGGTGCAGCACATAGCTATGCGGGCGGACGCATCGCATCTTTAACTATATCAGCTGAGCACTTTTCCCTCATTAAATAAAAAACAGCATTTTTTTCATTTAACTTATTAAGTTATCTATTGTATTACCAAATATCAGATTTTGCGGTAGGAGATATCTATCATTTTTTAATTTTTTCAAGTCTTATTACACCTTCAACTCATTAGCTGAGCACTTATACACCGCAAAAAATTCAGCGGACAATTTTTTTTGTGTAACTGGTTAAGTTAACTATTACTTTACCAAATTTCAGCTTTTACGGTATCAGTTTACCTAGTGCATATTGTTGACTTATTTAGGAAAAGCTGAGGCATAACCCCCCACTCCAGAGTCAGCTGATTGCGTTTTTTCGTTTGTTTATAACATAATCAACATGTCGGCAAAGTCTCAGCTTTTGCGGTAATAGTTTTTTGTTCTTCTTAATGATTATTTTACATGTGTGGCATACTGCCACTTACTTGTGATACCAAATGAAGCATAGGAAAACTTTTCAGCTTTTGCTCTTTTGGTCATCAAAAAAAGGTCGCTGGCTACCGGGCTATAATAAGTAGTACTAGTAGTACTATTTTAGTTTTTTTACAAGTTTGGGGTAGTATTTTTTGTAGTCTTTTACATTTCAGTAGTAGTTCAAAGCACTTATTTCAAGTGTTGTATTAATTTTCTTAATATTATTTTTTATTCTTTTGTAAAAGTCAAGTAGCAAGTTCAAGAAATAATTTCAATGTATTGTGTTGATACACAGGGAGCTAATTGAGTATGAAGNTGTATAGTGATGATGACGAATGAACTGCTGGTAACATCGGAATAAGTTTGCCCAGATTTAATTTTAAACGTTACAAAAGTCGCCAATAGTTTATCATGAAATAGGTCAAGCCTATAGCCCGGGAGCCAGCGACCATTTTGAGTTAGTCATTTAGCAAAAGCTGAAAATTTTTCCTACGCTTCATTTAGTATTACTAGTAAGTGAATCGACCTCCAGCTCACACAGTTCCGGGGGGGTATAGCTGCGGCAGCCTCCCTCCCACACACGTGAAATAATAATAAAAAAAACTAAAACCACAAAAGCTGAGGCTTTGTTGACATATTGATTATGTTATAAACAAAAGAAAAAACGCAATCAGCCTGACTTTAGAGTGGGGGGTTATGCTTTAGCTTTTCACATAAACTAGACAAAAATATGCGCTAGGTAAACTAATACCGAAAAAGCTAGAATTTGGTATAGTAATAGTCAACCAGTTATACGAAAAAAATTGTCCGCTGAAGTTTTTGCGGTATATAAGTGGTCAGCTGACGAGTTAAAGGTGCAGCACATAGCTATGCCTGCGGGCGCATTGCATTTTTAACTTTATCAGCTGAGCACTTTTCCCTCACTAAATAAAAAGCTGAACATTTTTTTCATTTGACTTATTAAGTTAGCTATTGTATTACTAAATTTCAGCTTTTGCGGTAGGAGATATCTATCATTTTTTAATTTTTCAAGTTTTTTTAGTAATTATATAAAAATATACAACTTTTTTCAAATATTTATTTGCATTAAATGTTCTCACGAGTTTTTCAGTTTAAAGAGTTTTAATAAATATTCAAAGTTACGTTAATCAGGGGACCAACATTATGGCTCTAAAAAATCAAGGCTAACATGAGTAGTTTTTAAAATATTTGAAAAAAATAGAAATTTTGGAAATCTGTTTTTAATTTATTTCAGCGTTGTTTGAGGTGATGTTGAAAAAAGAAGAACACTTTTTCATGGTAACTTTTTGCCCTCTACCGAATGGCATAATTAATTTTTATATGTAACTTTCATCTCTCCAGGACCATCATCAACTTCATTTTTGCAAGCTTTCACGACCCCCCAGTACTGTACTGCCTCAGTCCGAACCAGATTCCGACGTTTTGTCTCTAAAAATTCATCTTCAATGTATTCGTTCTAAATTTATCTAATTTAATTTTTTTTTTTAGATTTCTATGTTTCTTGAATTATCCTACCAGTTTACCTAGCACATATTTTTGACTTATTTAGGAAAAGCTGAAGCATAACCATAGCCTTTTTCTTAATGATGATTGTTTTACGTGTGTGGCATGCTGCCGCAATTATACCCCCGGAAGTGCTCACTTACGGATTTACTTACTAATTATCATAGGAAAACTTTTCAGCTTTTGCTCTTTTGGTCATCAAAAAAGTCGCTGGCACCCAGGCTATAATAAGTGGTATTAGTAGTACTATTTTAGTTTCTTTACAAGTTTGTGTAGTCTTTTACATTTCAGTGGTAGTTCAAAGCATTTTTTTCAAGTGTTGTATTAATTTTCTTAATATTATTTTTTATTCTTTTGTAAAAGTCAAGTATCAAGTTCAAGAAATAATTTCAATGTATTGTGTTGATACACAGGGAGCTAATTGAGTATGAAGACAAACTTTAAGGGATGATTCTTTGAGTGAATTCAAGCCAAACAGGTTATATAAGCACATCACTGCAAATCGATAGTTTTTGAGACACAGGATATTGAAATTTAAAAAGAAAATTAAAGATATTTGATATAAAATGACAAAAGTTTGAATTCAGTTAATTTTCACTTTTAGTTAGATAAGTTATTAGCCTATGTTTCATCATTTATATCAAACATCTTCAGATATATTTTAGAAAAGATGCTTTTTTTAATTAATTTTGCAGCGTATTGAAAACTATTTATTTGTGGACCCATGTTTATATAACCTTTTCTAACTAAAATCACTCGCAGAATCTCCTCTTAAAAAAAAGTTAGCAAAGAAAGAGAATTACTGTGGCAAAGAATTACAATCAATAACAACACATTTTTATATTGTCAGCATTTTGTTTTTTTTTTTCAATAAGTTGTATGCTTGCATCATCTAAGAAACTAAGAAACTGTTTCACAAAACAGCACCTTTGCACGTATTTTTGTGTAACTTATGCCAAGGAAACGCCGTGAAATTGAATAAATTCTATACGAGGGTCTTATTTTAGGTTCACGAACTGTCCGCAGACAAATTGAAGCAAAGAGAGGTGGTATTAATTGATATCGCCAATGATAGTGTAGCATCGGGTGATTATAAGGAGGAGGAAGATCCCACTAAATTCAAATCTCAGAAAACGGGACGAGGCCCATTGATCGGACCTGACTGGAAGGACAAAGTGGATCCTGTGATGACGTGTTATAAATTAGTTACCGTAGAATTTAAATGGTTTGGTTTACAGGTAAGTAAATCGTCAATGCAGTGGTTGGTAGTTAATATAATTTTATTTATTTACAATTATTTCTAACAAACTGCACCTAATAAAAAAAGAGCAACAAAATTCTAAAGCTAACTTGTTAACATTATCGATTTGGAACAAGAGAACCTTTTTTTAATGGTCGTTGATTTATTTTTAAAAAAAAACTTTCATGGGTTCAGTTGATTTGAAATAAAAATCGTTCAATAAAAAAAAAGAATTGTGGCAAAACAGTAATTAAAAAGAAATTGATAATGGATTATATGTAACTTTAATTAATTTAAGACTCCAGATAGGTGTCATACCAATTTTTTTTTTAAGAAAAATCGCATCTTTAGTTATTTGCTCGTATTTTGTCTCTTATAGTCAACACCAAAAATTAATCTTATATACATATTTCTGAATCTTTTGGAGATAAATCTGCCTTATCTCAATCCTCATTGAATTTTCAAGTGGTAGAATAGTTTCAAACTTATTAGTTCTCATCAGTATGCCATAGTTGACACGACCGATGAAGGATTTAGATATTTTGATGTATATTTACCATGTTTTGACTGTGAGTGAGATAATTTGCAAAGTATGTCATATCTAAAATATCATTGCTGCTCAGTTCGTACTGGCATTGGATTATCTACTGGCAGAGAGTGACCTACTAATCTGTAGGTACTATGAAAGCATGACTAGTGTCGTATTAAGTGAAGTAAATTTTTTAACTAACGATATTATGCAAAACCACTGCTGAACAACCCGTTCGGCATCATAAGTTTGTTTTTTTTTTGTTATGAACTGATTTTTTTTCATATTTTTTGTATCCCGCCTCTGATAAGATAATGTAACCCCTAATAACTGCCTGCACTATCCATGAGCATGCCTTGTTGTTAAATCTTATCTTTATTCATTCGTATAAATGATTTTGCATAATATAAGAATATTAACAATGAAGACACATAAACACACCATACTAAAAAACCATTACTTCAGGCAGATAGTCAAATTAACGTTGGCCATTTGTTTATTGCCTGCCTAGCTGCCTGTTGTCATATCACATCAGGTGTATTGATATTATGTAGTTTATCTAAACTAGGTCAATATCGTAGAAGTAATTGACACAGATCCAAAAATACTTTCTATTAAAAACTTGAAATCTATTTCTATTCTTCTATTTAAATTTTATCAGATTAGTATTTTTTTAATTAATTTATTTTATATTAAGTACATACATTAAACAGTAAAAATAACACAGGCCGACAAAATTTGACCGTCCCTCTCTCCCAGAATCCACAATTTACTTTTCCAAAGGATTTTGGTGCGCTGAATTCGAATTCGATATCCAAATTTCTCAATTGGCTCTGGTTTTCGAGATATCCTAACCTAAAAGTGCAAAAACCGCGATTTTTTGACATATTGGGGGTTATGTTACATGGAGAGGTAAATTTTTTTTCTAAAACTATTAATTACTCTTTAAAACCTACTTGGATTTATCCCGATATCATTTTTCGTCTTTGTGAAATCGCATACTGAAATTTAGTAGTTTGACTTATTTTTTGATTTTTGAATATACCGACAACACAACACCACAAATCAAAATTCATCGGCACCTGGAAGTAGGGATCATACATGTTTTTGGGGTCGCTGATCACGATCTGAACTCCAAAATATTCTCACGTCAAATTTTGCAATAAACTTAAAAAATATCTCAGCATTCAATATACATATGGCCGATATTTTACGCATCATATCAATCTGGAATACAATTACACGCAAAAGAAGCTAATACGCTCAATCCCGAATTCATAAACTCTAAGCCTAAAAACCCTAAGCCCATAACCCATAAGGTTTTAAGGTGCTGTGTTGTGAGTATATTCAAAAATCGAGAAATAAGTCAACCTACTAAATTTCAACGTGCGATTTCTCAAAGACGAAAAATGATATCGAGATAAATTTAAGTGTGTTTTAAAGAGTAAATATAGTAGTTTAAGACCTTGTTAATGGTTTCAGCAAAAAAATTTAGCTTTCCATGTAACATAACCTTAAATGTGTCAAAATATCGCGATTTTGGTACTTTTAGGTTAGGATATCCAAAACCAAAGCCAATTGAGAAATTTTTATTCAGCGCACCAAAATCGTTTTGGAAAGTATATCTGTGTTGTTGCATTAAAATTTAAACGTTAGTTTTCTTCTTATTACGCGTTTTATTTCAATGCTATGGGGTATGTGGTATGTATCCCGCAGGGTAGTTTCTCACAATATCCTTACTTATAAAGTTTATTTCACATAATGCGACACTTGTCATGCTTTCATAGTACTTACAGATTAGTAGGTCGCTCTCTGCCAGCAAGTAATTCAATAATGACATTTAGTATTTGACATACTTTGTAGACTATATCTCACCCAAACCCAAAATATGCCCTTGACAATACTGACATCTCCACAGAAAAGAAATTATGACTGTTAAATCTATCATACAGCAAATGGTGCTCAGTTTGAACATTTATTTTAATTATTGTCATTACTTAATGTTTTCAAATGTTTTTTGTAACATTACCTTCAATTGAAATGATATGTGTGAGTTTCTATTTAGAAGAAAAAAAAATGATCATAATATTAATGTAAAACAGAATGTTAAAAACAATTTCTGAAAAATAAAAATCAACTTTTCTTGATGTTTTTAACAAAACCAGTTTGATTTTATTTTACACTTTATGTTTCTGTCTTTATAGTTACACACTGTATACTTACTTTTTTTGTTTCAATTTTAGACAAGGATAGAAAGTTTTATTCAAAAATCTGAAAGGCGACTTTTTACAAATTTCCATAGGTAAGTAAACTTTTTTGTTTCTTGCGAGTGAAAAAATAGCATTCGTGAATCTTCAAAAGAATCTGTCCCCGTAATTTTTGAGGAAATTAAGGGAGTGCGTTCTAATTCCAGGCAAGTTTTCTGTTCGATCGACCGCTGGTACGGCCTTACAATGGATGACATCCGGGCGATAGAGGACAAGACGAAGGAGGAGCTCGAGGCGTTACGTCGAAAGGGCGAAGTGAGGGGCATGCGGGCAGATTCGGATTAAGTACCCGTCGGAACAACAACTAGCTAATTTTAATTTATAACAACTTAAAATACACCAAATTATTACGGGAGCTGTCTAAAACTACAACTAAATCTGGCGGGGCCGACCGGAAGGTTAACCAAGCTAGCCTCTCACCCGCGTCGCCGTTAAAACTCAGTATTTTTAAGTATAAATGGATTTTAATTTATTTTTAAAGTTTATATTGCATTTACGAGTCTTATTATATTAAAAAAATAAAGTAATTTTATATTTAACGTAGTTACCACGATTTTTTATAGGTGTTTTTCTCTAGGCAGTTCTGAGCGGCCTGTTATAACTAAAAAAAAAAGTAACGATTAAGTGTTCCGGATATAAATTAAGTTAGGGAAAAATAATGAAAAGGTTTCTTGCATTTTTGCGCATGGTGTATCACTTCAGAATTTTTTATTATATTATGTTAATTTTATTTAAATAAATGTTTATTTTATAACATGTTTTTGTTTATTTAATTAGCCGTTATTTTTTCATTATTTTTCTTCGACGTTTCAACCCATTCCTATTAGTTTCTTAGGTAGACGGAGAATAGTGAAATTACAAGTAAGTTTTCGTTCCTTTTTCGACCATGTTTACGATGTGAAAGGCTAGAATGAGTAAAAAAAATCACCTAAAGAGAATTGTAGGTACTTATTAACTTCATTGAAAAATTCTGCTCAATTTGGGGATATTTTACATTCTTTTGTAACTTAGTACACCTTAGACAGCTGTTAGCGCTTTCTAACTCTAGTCGAAGCCTTTGGTATGAAATTCCGAACGTCTCATGAAATTTTGCATCAAACTAACTTTGGTTACCGCAAGTGAAAAAACATAGAAAATAAAAGGAGCATATGATATAAAATACAGTTTAAACTCGATTATTGGGACTTCCGTGATTCAAATCTCTGTTATCTGGGTCTCTCGATTTTTGGTAGTGATGTAAAGTCGTCAAAGGATAATTCCTATTGTACAGAGGTACAGGGTGCAGAAAAAGTTCTGTCAATTTTTTGAGACATTTCGTTAACAATATATATTGCATAGACAAATGAATCCACATAAACGAATAATAACATCAATTCAATAACAATAAATTAAAACAAAAATACATTTATGCAACTGCTTTTGAAAAGTTCCAACAATGGTCGCATGTCCCAGGCTTGCATCAACGCCGCTTTCAGCTGCTACACTAACGTATCGTTTTTCGGGAACTCTACTCCATGTTGGACCACACCAAGTAATCCATTGGGTTGAGATCTGGCGAGTTTGGTAGCCAAAAGTCCTTGTCCTAAAAGCCGGGAAACGGCCGTTAGCAGACAGTAATCGTTGACTAGGTCAATAAGCTGGGGCCCAGTCTTGCTGGAGCGTGAAGAATCTACCCATGCCGAAGTGCTACATTGCCCATAACTTCAGAGCGTGTCAAAAAACTCGTTCCTGGTACTCGGCCTGCATTGATTTTCATGTTTCTTGGCATGAACACCTCCCAGACCATCACCGAAGCCGGGAAATAATTACAGCCGATGGGTTTTGCAGCGCCAGGCTTCTGCTGACTTTTCTTGAGCAGCTGATGACAATTTTGGCGGTTGTGGAGTGGTTCGATGGAGATCTTGTCATCCGTGAAGGGAACCGTCTCCGGGCGACCACCAGCAAGCGATCCTGTAAGCATGCAGCTTTGGCTTGTTTTTCACAAAGTTGCGAATGCTTTTTTCATCGATAGCTAGCTGTAAGTTTGCGCATCAAACCCTTTGGATTGTGATGAATGTGACAAGGGACATTGTTGATTTTCTTTAACGTTGTCGTAGTGGTTGGATGATCAATTTGAGGACGGTCCTTGCCATCTCCTTGAAACGTTTCATGATCCTGTAAATGGTCCTCTGATCGAAACCAGTTGTGTTCTTCATTTCTTTTTATGCAAGTCCACGACAGTTACATGTTCATTTTCACGACAATTAAAAATAAACAAATGGTGTACTTTCTAGATAAGGGCTGGCAAGCAATTTTAGGTGGAGTCCAGATACTTTTGAAAATTTTTATCAAGGTTGAGAAAAAAAACTCATATTGCTTACTAATTTTTTATTTTAATTTGCACTCCCAAAATAATTTCAATTGTTATCTACAAAAAAATGTGTTTTAAATAATTTGAGTAATTGTACTTTCAAAAAATTGTTGGCGGTCCAGTTTTTTACCTTCCGCGGTCCGCCAGTTGCCGACCGCTGTTCTAGATCATAATTAAACTAGGAATTTTTAAAAAATATCAAAATATAACAATGACAATATCAAAAATTCCTCAAAAACAAAATTGACAGAACTTTTTCCGCTCCATGTACACTCGCAGGAACTGATTAGTTCTAACTACACGAATTATCGGTAAATTACAAAATGGTTCATGTACGACAAGCCAACACATAATTACAAAGAACCACCTGTAAGGACCGATTTTACAGAAGTGTGCTACTATCGTATGCAAAGATATTGAGCCGTCTTTTTGATTGCATGTATCTCAAAAGAAAAAAGCAAAAACTTTATTTTTTTATATCTGTTGTCAATTAGTCACCAAAATTTGAGAATTTTAGGTTGAAGCGTTCTGAAAGATTCCCCGATATACGCCAAAAATATATCTACACGATTTTCTGTTTACTTTAAAATTTGAAGTAATTTTTTGAAAACCGTCAGTTATTTTTTTTTGTGAAATTTTGATATAGGATGTTTATAAGTGGTATTTTTTTTCCATTTTTTGAACAAAGGGTTTGAAAATATCAAAAATGCTTCATCTTGTTCACTCAGTTATGACGATAAGGCAAAACATTTTTCGCAATCTGAACCTTGAAACAAACCCAAAACTATAAAAAGTGTTTAAAAACAATCAACGGGTAATTTATTACAGTGCGTTAAAAGTTAAGATGAACACAGGTATCGTAGCTAATAGCAGGACATGGTGTGGCAAGGAAAACGAGCTTGGAGAAAGGGCCAAAGCAGTTTCACTTTCATTTGATACTAATTTTTAAACCCATTACTCGTTTAATTATTATAGTTGGAAAAGGTTTGGTTAATGTGAAAGTCAAGAATTTTTATTCATAAATTCCTTGAAAAAAATCCTATTGCTTCCCTCCACTTTTTGGTTCCAGTGACTACACTACCAAAATTTCGTTTCTCTTGTAACACACGTTTTACTTACGTTAAGACGGTCCTTTGTTCTTTTTAAAAATTGCGCGATTTTATAAAAACTATTTTTAATCAAATTTATTAACATCTTCCAACAAAGCATTACTGAAAGCATGTCTGATAAGGAATTACATATGCATGAACTGCTGCAGTTTTAACAAACGCCCAAAAAGATTTACAAAATTTAAAAATGCGGTCTTGGCCTGAGCTGGTTTGTCCATTGATTACTGTATTGAGTAACATCGCTCCACCCCGTCCCGCTCATGCAAACAATAGCGGCCTATACAGGGTGTCCGGTAAATAATGGATAACCTTTTAACCATGGATGGGGAACCCTAAGGTCGTCAGAAAATCTACTTTTGTCTTGGTACATAGTCCCTTCATTTCAGTTATTTCGTTTTTTTTTCCGAAATTTCCACCATAGGTTATTGGTCACTACAGCCACAAGAGAACGTATTATCTTTCAGTTAATTTGTGTAATATACTTGAATTGTGTTATTATCAGATGCTTAAAAGAATTTTTAACTAGCAACAGTAGTTCTTGTTTAAAAAATCTTAAACTTAAATTTTACGTTAGCAAGGGAAGATACAAACGAAAACTTCGAAAGGCATTCATAAGAAGGTGCAGAGTCTCCATCAGGGAAGACGGCAAACAATTTGAACATTTACTGTAATTTTTAAATAAAATTAAATAATAACTGAAAGGTAATACATTCTCTTGTGGTCGTAGTGACCAATAAAATAACCTATGATGGAAATTTCGAAAAAAATCCCGAAATAACTGAAAAACTAAGGGGCTTCGTACTAAGACAAATGTCAGTTTTCTGAACGACCTTAGGGTCGAAACGTTTTTTAGTTTTTTTGATGGGTTCGAAGTTTTCAACATATTTTTGCAAATTTTGACACACCCTTTAATTGAAAAAACGTAAAATACATACTGTGTTTTTTGAGAAATGACAATTTAAATTTTAATGTAAACAGAAAATTGGTAGATTTTTTAGTATACACCGAAGAATCTTTTGATCGTTCCAACCAAAAGTTCTCAAATTTTGGTGACTAATTTGCAATAGACAGTATAATTTTTTTTGCTTCGCAGTCACACATTCAAAATAAGGGCTTAATATTTTTGCATCCTATAATATTACGCAGGTCACTTCATTGAAACATTATGGTTATTATTAACATTAGTTTAAACGTTTAAATATTTTGTTCAAATATTACATAGAACAAAGAATATTTATTTTAAATTACATGTTTTTATATCTTTGAATAACAATAGAGAGGTCTTAAATGAAATAAAATATACATTTCCCACCTAATCCTGTTTGTCGAGTTTTTACTATAATTAAAAGGAGTTCGAGCAAAAACTCAAAATCATTAAAATGTAATTTTTTTATACTTTCGAGACCATCGATTAATAGAATTCAGAAAAATTGTGTCATATACAAAGTAACTTAGAGCAGAAAGTGGTATTTGAAGCTCAATTTTAAATTTTCAATGTTGCGAGATGATATAAATCTTCAGCACCATATACTACTTTGTCAGATAATTCCAGTGCTATAAAAACATAGCGCTTTCGTCTAGGGTTAGAAAGTGGATTATTTTAGCCAGAGCGTCATCATTTTTTAATCCAGACGGCACATTACCTTAGAGGACGGGAGCCATTTTGCCGGAATCGAATAATTCCTCTTAAATATTGTATAAATGTTAGCGGTTAGTCTTTAGATTTTGGGAACACTCAGACAATATAAGTAATGTTGTAAGGAAGTTTAAATGTCTCTAGTCATAATTAATTAGTACTTTCCGGAGTTGCGGGCAGCCGCTCAAACATTTCTTAACACAAATGGAGCTGCCGACAACTCTGCGTCAGAATGGCTCCTGGATAATAGTATCGAAGTATTTTGGTGGTGTAAGCACTAGGTTTTGATCAAAGAATATGTGATTTATGATTATTACACACTCCAATTTATTTTGATAATTTAGATGTTTCTCAAACTTACCTCTTGCGACTGTTTGGGAGGTGGTTACCCGTGCTGTAATACATTTTTGCTTCAAAAAAATAATGCTGGGTCGCCTTCTAAGGCCAGTATTTACTGCCAGTGATGAAATGATAGCATATCGGGTGTTGGCAAAGCCGTGAAACAGTTATACAGGAGTACCGGGTGATTTAATTAAACTGCAATTTCGTGTTAAAGTTTAACATTTCCAATCTAGCCGTGTTTCATCTTTAAAGTCAATTTAATAATAGCAAACGAGTAACGATATAAAAGTAATTATTTTTGTATTAAGTTTATGCCTTTCTGTTGGCTTATTTTGTCTTTAAAGTTGTGTAAAATTCTATGCTTTTTGTATGACGTTTTTTTTAAATCACATTGTTTCTTGTCAGTCTCTTAATTGAAAGTTGACCATCGGTTTTCCTGAAGTTTTCTCCTGTCACATTTTAAGTCTTGTCCTTATTTTTGACGAGATTTTTAAAACTCCTTTTTTGAACTCTACGTGTCAATATTTTTCACGTTACAGGAAAACTTCAAGAAAATTTGAAAAAGGGCACCTTTGTTATCTCGTTTTTTATCTTCAATATATACAGTGACAAATTTAAAAATTCCTTATTATTGGGGGATTTTTTGTGTGTAAAGTAGGATAAGTTTAAAGATCCATTCTCTAGTTCTAAAACGTCTGTATGTAACATTGTAAAAATGAGAATTGTACACAAATGTTAATAAAACTTAGCTAGAAATGTTGAATCGATTTTTTTTAATCACTACCTTAAAAGTTTTAATTGAATTTACGCGAAAATCTAAAATACATATTTAGAATCTGCATTGTTTTAAATTTCGCGCTTCAATATACAAATGATTATGCAACACAGTATACAGATTGCTGTATATAAAGTTGTATATCGCATCCTTTTTAGTTGCTTGAGAAATACGGGGGCCTGCTTTCTGCAAGTACTTTTTAACTTTTCACTCCTTACCTTCTTTGCTATTTTCTGTTTTCAAAATTAATATTCAAAAAACAGTTGGTAATCTGCACAGTGGAGATGAATGGCTGAAGCTTCTTAAAATGCATAACATTTGTGTAAAATATATATTTTTTTAGAGATGTGCTGCGGACATGTCAGCTGGACATGTCCATCGGACATGTGAAAAGTGGACATGTCTTGAGGCCACGTTTCAAGATTGAAAAGTTGTATGCGCATGCGCGGAATAATTTGCATTCATAATTCCCGCAAAAAATTTTTGAGGTTGGTACATGTAAAATTAAAGATAAGCAATTTTCTTGTAATTTTCTTGGTAATTGTTTAACTGAAACTGACATTTTAAAAATATTACCTCTTCATGTCAATATTTTATAATTTTTGGCAAACTTAACGATTAGTAAATAGTAATTACTTAGTTGATTCTTAATTTAATATTTAAAACGCATTAACATTAAATAAGTGTATTGGCTGTCCGGGAAAAATTAGAAACCAGTTTATAAAAAAGTCTAAAGGTAGGTAATAAGTAAAATATATCCACACATATTCATTAGAATAAAAGTTGAAAGTAATATTTTGCACTGTGTACCCTCAAGCAGTGACCTGTGAAAACATGACATCACTCATAGGTGCCTTATTCTTATTAGATTCAACGTCAAAAAAATTCTTTTCCCGACATTTCATCGACATGTCCGTAACACACTGTGGTAGTGGTCTATGGTAACACACTTTTCTGGAAAAGTGCCCACCTCAATTTTTTTTATAAAACAGAATTATTCTTCACTTTTCTACATTTGTAAAATGAAGTGAAAGAGTGAAAAGTTGAAAAGTACTTTCAAAAAATAGGCACCAGGGGCCGTTTTCAATTTTGGGACTGGGAATGAATGAGAGGCATGTTTAAATACAGAGAAAATTTTAATTTAGAAATTTTCAAGGGATGATATGATATAAATATTTACAGTAAAAAAAAGAATAAAACAGATCTATGATCCTCCTAAGCATTGTTCTTGGATGTTCTATAATATAAAATATAATAAAAATAAAACAAATCTTCTTGTACCTTATAGATTCATTAATGTATCCAACAAAAAAAGAACATATTTACGTATCTTCGTGTCTGTATCGGTACAGAAAATTCATTTTAATAACAAAAAGTTTCATCAAAATTTTCGTCTACAGCAAAAAAAACTATGCTATATAACTACATGCATTTTATTTATTTAAAAATGTGCATTTATAATACATTTTTGCTAAATTTATGCCTCAAATGTTTTAAGACAAAACTTTACGTATCTGTAATTTTTTTACAATGTCAATACATTGAGTACACTCTGGAAGAAATACAATTTTTTGTATATCGCAAAAATATACATCTTTTTGTGACGTTAAAATATTGCACTTGATTGAAAATTTTCAGTAACCCTATTTCTGTGCTATATTTTATCGTGAAATGGGAGAAAAACAAACGGAAACTATGGCATACTCTCATAAATTCTTTCTATGGGTGGATTTCTTTTTTTAATTACTTAATATTAACGATATGCATTGAAATATTATTCTAATTATTTGGAAATTAAAGCTATATGAAGATTTTCCGGTTATATTGAGATCTAAAAATAAAAACTGAATGTTCCTAATTTTACCTTGTCAATATAGCTATTACAAACAGGTGACTTGGAGGTCTACGCTTACGAATCTGCTTGATTTTGATTAACTTCGTATCACTCAGTATAACAGGAATCAACAAAAATTGTCCGCTTGCAAAAAATATCGTCACTGCAATTTTTTCTCTGAATACAAACTAAATCAGTACTGGCCTAGCTAAAAACTGTTTTTATAACGGATGCCCCTATGGAAAGACTAGACACAACAGAAGTTGACGGAAGAAATTTCGAAATTAAAATTATTCATTTTTATTTGAAAGAACATGAAAAATATACATAATAGTGCTTTTATATACAAAAACTTTGGAAGATTGCTACAAATTAAAAAGTACGAAAAATTACTGCTAAATAACTTAGTCACGTTTAAATAACTTATTCCATTTAAAAAGTCGCTAAACAAACCTCTTAGTACTTAGAATATTGCATTTTTGGCCATTGATCTTATTTAAAAAATTGGAAAGCACAGGTTCTCGTAATATAATAAAAAATAAACAATTATAGTGTATATCACAAAATGTTTAAAACATTTTCTTTGCTTTTTAGCCCCAGATGGGCTAAATATTATATAATATAATAACGGTAACAGTCTTATTTAATAACTACATAAATACAAATTAAAAAAAGAGAACAAATAATGCCAATAAGTCAAAAAGTTAAAAATCGGCAAGAATCGTCGTGTTACAACGTATTCACCCGAGAACCAGTCGAGTCAACACCTTGTATGCATCAACAAAAATGTGTGGTGTGGTGAGGTGACTCAAAGAAGTTGCAATTCCAACGTCCAAATTCCAACTTTTTTGATCGCCTTGTTTCTTTATGATCACAATAATTATTTAATAAATATTTGTTTGTAATAACCTTGGGGGTAATTTTTTCGATTTCGTGATTGCACTTTATTTTATCTTACAACAACTCAGCAACCTCACTTCGGAAGAAGTCCCGGTTCGGGTCGTCCAATAATTTAACACTATTATATTAACAACTAAAACAACACCGGAAGTCACTGGATCTACATCAGAGTCAGTACTCCCACCTCTCTTCCTCGTTTTCCTGTTTAACAACTTTACTCTCACTATCCTCGTTCTTTAACTCACTTTCTTCATTGTTTTCCTCCTGTTCTTCCTCTCCCTTCTCTTCGGTCTTCTCGTGGTGGTCGTTCTCGTTGCTAATCGACGATGAGTCGCTCTGGTCGTCATCAAATCGATCCATAACAGCTTGAGGCTCAACGCGAACAGTCTCTTCCGAATTTCTCCTTGCATAATCGTCTGCTGTCTGCATCACACATACGCCGTTTATTATAACTTCATCTCCGGTGCTAGTCTTCTCTTTTTCCTCTTCCCAGTTTGGATTAACCCACTGGGGTGCCGCAGGTTTTCTTCGCGAAGACCTGCCTTGATTTGTAGGTACCTCCTTGGGTTCAACTTTTACCTCTCCGTGCATACTACCTCCAGACATATTCGAGTCTTCCGATCCTACGTTGCTTTCCACGTCATCCTCATCATCATAATCCCCCGGTTCTCTCTTTAAAGAGGTCATCGACAGGTCCAAACCGCTCATTTGTTCTTTAACGGCGTTGTTTAACGCGGACAAGTCCATGTCACCAGTAGGCAGCAATCCGCGACTGATCAGAGCCGCTAGATTGGTGTTAGCAGCTAGGTACGGAGGATAAGGCAATGGTACCCCACTGAGACCCATTCTTTCCTTGGAAAGCTCCAGCAATCTTTGGTTTAACAGCAATCTGAATTGAACGGGATCAAAAGGCTGTTGGTTGCCTGTTTGGTCCCTTGGTGGTAAGTCTGAAGCCATTCCGTGAGGTACTTGCTGCTTCAGCCTCATCCTGTGGTTGTGAAACCAGTTGGTTATGGTTCTGGAGGATAAACCTAGCTCCCCAGCTAGAAATTCGATGGTTGCCACGTTGGGATATGGGTCTAAAGCGAATGCAAGTCTCAGAGCTTCCTTTTGTTCTTCACTGAAGAGTACACGTTGTTTTTTGGCTGATGGTGGTCCAGGACCCGGAGAATTTGAATGGTAGAACTCTGACGTGTCATTAGAAGACGTGTCGCTGCTATTATCGTGAGCACCGGGGCCAGAGGAACGACGTCTTTTATTAGCTTCACGTCTCTCGTTCTTCAAAGCTTGTAAACGGTCCACGTTGTGTGCGTCGTTGAGCCACAGCTGCATCCTTATGAAAGGTTCACGTCCTTTGATGCTCAGCATGTGCCAAGGTTTTGGTTTTGATAGGAGTTCACTTACTGAGCCTTGAGAAAGTCCCAAAACAGCTTCACCAAATATCTGAAAAAGAAAATTTAGTTACTAGTTATTTCAGATAATACTTCTGCAACATACCTTTTGCCCAATGTTATTGGCAAGCAATGCTTCTTTGATCTTGGTGGTGATGACTTGAGTGTCCAAATCTTGAGTTAGCGCCGCCATTTCGTAGACGCTTGGAGACATGTGTTGATGCATGTTCCTCAAAGATGTGTGTTGTGGTCCTATCGGAGAGTGTGGAATCCCATGAGGACTTTGATTAGATTTTTTTAACAGTTCTGGATTTTGTAGATTGATGGCGTGATGTGGAGGTAATCCTGGAGGAGTAAGAAGCATTGGGGGTGGTGGAGGTTGGGGGTTAGAGCTCTGCGGCGGCCCCAATTGCAATGAGGGCGGCAAGATATTCTGCGATTCTTGCATCTTATTCAGCAATCCAGCTGCTTCAGACAGCATTTTTGTGGTTGGAGGCATTGGTTTACCGATGGAGGTGCATGCTGTAAGATGAGAAAAGACGTTAGGATTTTTCTCTAAGGTAGGAAAGCATATCTTACCTCCTCCATATCCACCAGTTCTCATGAGTTTCTCTGGTGCTATTTTGTACTGGCTTGCCACTAATTTATGTACAGCGTTGTCGTCCTCCAAAAACATTTTCATTCTGATGAAGGGCTCTCTTCCTTTCTGCGTAAGCATATGCCAGGGTTTAGGCCTTGCTAAGAGATCACTGACAGAGCCTTGGGATAAACCCAGCACATTCTCTCCAAAGAGCCTTTGGCTTATCGAGTACTGACTTAATTGTTCCTTAACCTTCTTCACGATATCTTCCGTGTTCAGGTTGTTGTACAGGTCGAACTGTTGTTGAGTGATGGGAGGTAATACTGCTTTCAGGGGTCTGTTGTTCGTGGTGTGATGGGGCTGAGATGGGGGTTGTGATATTAGTGAGTTTGTGATGCTCGCCATTCTTTGTAGTGGTGATGCTGCTGCAGAACCAGAAAAGTCATCTGTGGGAGTTATTGGCGGTAAGATGGAGTTACCTAGAGGACTTGAAGCAGTTGAACCAGTGCTTTGTTGGGAGCCCGGTTCAATCTTAGGTCTTACAAGGCTGAAAGCGGAGCCAGAGTGACGCGACATCGCGTCGTCGTCCTTTTCCTTGTCCTCCATCATTCCGTTCATGAGTTTCATTTTGTCCTTTGGTATAGACAAGTCTTGAACACCCCCGTTGGAGCTTTGGTTCTGCTGTTGATGTTGCTGTTGCTGCTGCTGTTGTTGCTGATGGTGATGTGCCAGTGCTTGTTGTTGGATGGCTAGCAGACTTAAGGGCATCTGAGGAGCTTGTCCTTGGTTTAGTTTGGCAAGTTCTCGGTGATACGCGTCTAAAGCTATGCGGATATCCTCTTGGGTTCGGTCCATGGGGTTGCCGCTAAACAGTTGGGGGAGGAAAATACTTCATATTAGTTTAGTACTGTCCTAATTCGAAGTCTACAGAACGAAATATAGAGATGTCCGCAAGTTGAAGAATGTTTAATAATAAAACTTGCGAACTTCTGGAAAACGTTTTGGAAAACTGCGATGCAACTTACCCGGGAAAAGGTCCCTCCCTAGGGTTGCGCATATCTTCCATCCTCCTGCCCATGAGCTTGGCCAGCTCTTCCTGGTAGATCCTGACCACTTTCTCTTGGGATATATCGTCGTTTTCGTATTTTTTCAGTCTCTTATTCAAGGAGGAATCTCTGGAGAACGGGCTGCTGCATCCGTGCGGCGATTTTGAGTCCTCGTTGCTGTGGCTATCCTCAGGTTGCTGCTGTTGCTGCTTCATGTGTTGGAACTGATTCGCCTCGTTCAAAATGTGGGCCAGTCTTTCTTCGGTGAGGTCGCTTTCGGACCTCCCAAAGGTCGACATTCCCGATTCTGATTTGCCTGTTGACGAAAAATGGTCTGTAAGGGCAATGTTAATGTCTTAGTTATCATGTTTTTGCTAAGGTGATTAGCAAAACCAAAAAAGCCACTACAATCGCCTAAGAGGACGCTACAAAGCTCGAAGAGGTCGTTATATCTCACCATGTACTAATGTACTACATTTTTTGTTTGTGGTGTATTGATTCGTTGTTGTTCTAGTTTTGGCGGAAAAATATCGCTGATACGGTGCAACTGACAAGTTGAAGGGCGTAAAAATGTGCAGTAGACTTTATAAATTGGATTAACGGGAATCGGAATTCAAACGGTCGTCCGTCCACTTTCCGTCAACTTTACATTTTTTGAAACATGGGCGAAAAATCATTTATTTGGCTTGTTTTCTAATATTCAATCATTTTGAGTAGGTACCTATGTAAATGATATAAGACTTTAAACAGACTATCCTAGTTGATGGATTCATTTATTATAATTTGTCACAACGTCGGTCGCTATTGTGCGCTTTGTGTTTTTCGTAATTAATGAAGTTTTGTAGAAGAACAGTACCTAGTATGAGAAAAGCGGTTGTGGGATATTTTTAGAAATTGAAGAAATAAACTGTTACCCGTTGAAGAATACACACTTTTACGTTAACTGGACTTGAAATTGATAGTTAACTCATTCTTGAGAGACCAAATAATCATACGTGGACTCGTTGACAATATATGTCCTGTGCAGGTTCCCATGAAACTGTAATTACCCACCAGGAAGATATATAAATGCAGAATATTACAGCCAAGACGAGTAAATACAAATATTAAAATGTCATCTCGGAGAAAATATCGTCTCACAATTAAAAGAACAGTTTTCTAATCCCGAGCAGTAATTTTATTTTAATAATAGACGGGGAACGTCGGACTAGAACGATATCCTATTCACGAAAGTCGCGGTATCGTGTCTAGATCGAAATATTTTTGATAATTTCGATCTTACAATTATCCCCCGAGATACGTTCCGTAATTGTTCCGACAAAAACCGTAACTAGTCTCGAAATAAGACACGCAACGCTTCTAATGAGCCCGTGGCCATAAACTATGAGGCAACAGAAAAAATATGAAAAGTTTATTCGAATCTAAGTGTCGTCGGGGGGGAATTTATAGTCCTAAATTAATGAGCCGGATTGGAAAAGATACGTTGCAACAAAAGCAATCAACAAAACAATTTTAATGAAGAAAATTCCCTGGCAAACGTTCAAGGCTTGAATCATTGTTCCCGGGGACAAATTCTAGAATTTTATAAGTCAACGGTCAGCACATTCGTTCTCCGTCCGTTTTAGATGTTACTTTTTTTTCTTTAGGACACAATGTTGACAAGAAATCTAATTATTAAAAAAGAAATTGACGTATGAAATATCAAAAAGTAAGACCCGCTCCAAAAATTTTAAAAAATTCCGCGCGAGTTACGCGAATAAGAAGAAGAGGAAGAAGAGGAGATCTGGAGCAAGGTGTTCAGTGTTCTTACATTAGAGATAAAGGAATCAATCGAGGGAATATGAGTAACCAATCTCAGATGCACTTCACGGTGCATTCCCTTGAATAATAAAAAATAATCACATAAGAAGCTGGCTAAATACCCTCTGGGTGAAGGCCAATAAAAAAGAAGAAGAAGAAGAAGAAGTTCTTACATTAGAGGGAAAAAAGAGGTTATGTATGTGCGAAAAGAAGCGTTTAAGGTTTATGCTTTTATGTGTGTAGTGTCCATGCTTTTATGGAAAAATAAAGTTTTAGAGAAAAATATCGTGTGCCTTCCTGAAACAGCCACCAGGACAGAGCTCCCTACAGAATTAAAAAAACAGTGAATTGAATTGAATTGTGAATTTGTATATTATGAATAGTGAATTGATGATATAACCTACAAAATATGTCATGTTTTGAAACACCGTTGGGAAAAGTGTGTGAATAGAGGACAGAGGACGGGAGTACTTTGAAGCAGATAAGGACTAATAATGTATAAAATTAATGATAAAAGTTTAAAAAAATAAAGTTCGGTTATTTTTTGAACAGACCTTACACATATTTTTTAAATTATTGATACTTTTTCGTAAGCTTGGCGATTTGGGCGACTTGTCTTAGTTTTAAAAAGCAAACTATTCTCTTTAGTTACATGTTTTACGTCACCCCTCTGAGCATCATTAATTTATTTTGAGAACAACTCGAAAAACCGATACCGAGATTTGGTGTATCAGAAAATATCAATTAAATAGCAATAAGGATTGAAAATTGTTACCGATGACGCGGCGTGCCGATGGTAACGAGAAAATAATTACGTTTAAAAATTATCAAACCAAATTACCTATAATCAATCCCGTATTCTCATCATAACCCGAAAAAATGCTGTCGATCCCGATGGGATGGCAATTTAAATCTCATCATTATTAGCTAATTATCGGTTGTTTGGTTAATAATATTAACCGAATCGGAGCTATCTTTGGCGGTACAGGGAATGCATTAGCGGAGATGTGAATAACCCGAAACGTATTCATTTTACAATCACGTAAAAATGTGTATTGTCTATCATGGAATCATTTATCATTATCATTAGTTATGGCAATAGTTCGTAATAGCTATTACTCCGTCCTATTTCCGTGTAAAAAGAGATGACCAGCAACTTACTATATTTAGAAATAAGAATTTTTGGTAATACGTGCAGATTGGTTCAGAGCTCATATTTTGTTTTCAAAAACGGTAGAGCAACAATTAAAAAAGTTATTTGTTTCGAGTGCAATTTTAATGCACTGGAGGAATATGTCAAGTTTTATTGCTTTTGATTTATATGTTCCAATACAGTACTATAAACCGATAAATTTCTTCTATAAAAAAATAGACAAGGATTTACAGATGAGTCCAATTTCTATGTATATTGTTCAAAGATAGGAGTAATATGACAGCAACGGTCATGAAATAATGGCAAAATATAAATTCCACTTTTGTTTTTGTTTCTGTTTTCTAAAAATAGTAAAAAAATCTATAATTGTGAACAATATTCTGCTTGGAACGAGTCGTTTTTCCTTTTATGGCGTCAATCGGGGTAATATGGCAATTTGTTTTTAATTAACGACTGTTGCAACAATATCAATACCTATTTGCTTATTTCAGATAGTTTTTCAAAAACCGTGTGGCAATCATTAAAAAACAATACCGAATTTTCCTTCAGGGCATAAGTAGAGGGTAAATAGGGTACCTAATATGGCAATTTGTTTTTAATTAAGTTATAATTTCGTGACTTTTGATAATACATGCTTTATTTGCATACTTATAGGGCTTAAAAATTGACAAAATAGACCTGAATTTGCAAGTAAGTCAAATTGTCTATGATCCATGGAGTAATATGGCAACAGCGACAGTGTCTTTTTTTAAAAGCCATGCCGCGATAATAAAAAATAATTATGAATAGTATTTGTATACAGGGTGTCCCGAAATTAATGGGACACAGAGCAAGAGTAGATTCCTTACATCAAAATAATGCGATTAAGCCAAACTTACCTTGGTCCATTTGTGGCTAATAAAAAAGTTACGTTAACGTTAAGTTATTTGTGAAAAATAGATAGGAGAACAATATTTTTCTATTAAAACTTTCGTACACACACTGATAAAAAAGTTATAACCAGTTTTTATCAACCAAGAGTACATTTCGTAACGCCTTCTAGCGTCTACAGCAAAATTAAGTACGGATTCGTTTTTCTCGTCCCAGAAAACCCCCTAATCCAAATTTTCAAAAGAATCCTTTGAAAACTTTCTAAGAATTTTAAGAATTTCGAATTCAAAATTTCAACTTTAACGCCCTGTAACTTTTTTATTAACCACAAATGGACCAAGGTAAGTTTGGCTTAATCGCATTATTTTGATGTAAGGAATCTACTCTTGCTCTGTGTCCCATTAATTTCGGGACACCCTGTATAGATCGAGTCGTTTTAACTTCTCAACGCAAATACAGAGGAAATAGGGGTAATATGGCGATTTATTTTTATGACTTGGTAATTCATGCAGGACAATATTTGTATATAGTATCATGACTGTTCTAAATCTTCGACAAAATAGGCAAGAATTAACTAGTGAGCAAAATACCATATTGCTAAATGAAGATAGAAGTAATATGACAGCAACGGTTAGGGAACAATGGCAACAAATAGTTCCCACTTTTTGATTTCAGTTTTTCCAGAAAATAAACACTATAAATAATATATTACTTTGGATCGAGTTGTTTTTCCATTCTGCATAACCGTACAATTAAATCGGAGTAATATGGTATTTTGGACTCAGTCAAATTGTCATATTAACCCTTGGATCATAACTGTCGTTGCAACAACAACATGCAGTAACTAATTTTTAATTTGAGTTTTGTTTTTCAAAAACCGTATGGCAATAATTAAAAAAAGATAATTGTGAGTAGTACTTTTGTCTGGATCGAGTTGTTTTGTCTTTTGAAGTAGGTACAGTATAGGGGTAATATGGAAATTTACTTTTAATCCACCTGATCTTTGAGAATAAAGGTAACAATATTTGCATATAATTTTAGATTTATCGGCCTCTATTACCAAGAAGATAGGCTAGAAAAATTTGCTAGAGACGAATTGCCATATTACCTAAGCTTGGAACAGTGGTTGAGGAATATAACAATAAACATTTCATTTTCTGCGGGAAATTGTGTGAATCAAATTGTCATATTACCCAAGCATATGGATGATAAGGCAGCAAATGATGAGGAATATGGCAACGTGTAATGTTCTTGTTACGTTAACTTAATAAAAAGAGTTTTTAATATTTTTAACATTTGCTCATAGCACACCTGAGTAATATGAAATACGTATTTCAACGGTAATATGGTTGGATTTTCAGCAGGTTCTCTGTTCACAGAACAGTACACTCGATACAAATAAGGTAGAGTTAATATAAAGTGAATGCTTTCGCTTGTTTGTTTTGTTTTTCGGTTTAGGTTTATTAAAGCATCATCAGTAGCACCTTATGAGATATTAAATTTTAATTAGC